CCGCGGTCCGTGGGACCCCCCGGGCTGGGCTGGCGGGAGCAGCCTCGTGCGCCGAGGGGACAGAGGGTCCCTGAATGCCCCGAGGGAGCCTTGCCCTGTGTGTCGTCTTAGTTTCATCAGGGTGGAGGACAGACTCACAGGAGCACAGAGACCTGTTGGCAGTGTGTGATCTCTCCTGAATTCTTTTGCATGTGCTACTCAAGTGCTTATTTTGAATAAACCTTTTCACTTGAGGTTTTGGCTGATCTTCAGTCCATGTGCTTCTGTTGTGCCTCCTCTTGGGCATGATGCAGGAGCCTGAAGTTAGCCCCAAGTGTGTGTCTCTGGTACAAGCCATGTGAACATTGTGAGCTAGCTTTCCTGGTCCTGAGCCTCTTCCTGTGCTTCTGGGGCTTTGTGGAGTGTGCAGTCCCCAGAGGAACTCACTTGTGGCTTCCTGAAGGCTCCTGGGAAACCTTGCAGGCATTTCCAAGCTCCAGGCTTGATTTATCTTTGGGCTTTTGTCAGTACCTTCTGAATTTGAAGGAAGAGTAGCAACATGTGGATGAGGAGATGCAATTTTGCTTATAGAAGTGATCTGTGAATCTGGAAAGGCTTCTTGCTGGAAGTTAGGTTCCAAAGTGCTTTGTGGGAAGCAGGAGCAGGTTGTGTAGAAGTTCTCTTCCCTCTCTCAGCCTCAGCTGTTTGGGGGAAGAACAATGAGTTCTGTTTGTCAGTGTTATGTACTGTAGATCTTCATGTCCTACAATGTTAACTTGTATCCCAGAAGGTTAATTGTACAGGGAAGGAGAATTCAATTTTGTATGACCTGTAACAGCTTTTATCTGTATCTTTATGGGCCAAGATTCAGGGGAGGATGTAAATAAACCCAAACCCTTTCAGGTAGAAAGCTCAGGAAAGAACAGGTTGTGTTGCCTCAGTTTCTCAGTTCAGAGACCTATAACTTCAGCCTGGGTTGGGTTGTGTTTTTTGTGGGTCCCAGCAGTGATTTGCTGCTCGATGTCACCCTGTTCATTGAAGACCTTGTGTTTAGTGTTGCCTCAGAGCACTGACGTATCTCCGTTTAGCAGAGCAGCCAGTACACAGCAGTATACTTGCTCTGAATGTTGTGCTGATGACTTTGTGGCTATTTTCAGAGCCATGGAGGACCTGGAAAATAACACCACTGTCTTCTCCACGCTGAGATCCCTCAACAACTTCATCTCCCAGCGCATGGAGGAGACGTCTGGGCTGGCCACGCCGGGGTCCTCGCAGAGGTCCTTACAGATCCAGTACCAGCAGAGGATGCAGGTGAGGTGTCCTCACCTTGGTGCTGCCTGCAGCATCCCTTCAGTGTGGCTGTGTGCTCCTTTGGATTCCAGGAATCAGGATTGGTTTCTTTCAGATCTGTCCATTCTTTCTGATGTTGATGTTCACACAAGCTCAATGATGGAAACTTTGCTCAACATTCTGGAATCTTTTCCAGAAAATATTTAATTTCTTTTCAAGTGTCAAACATATTTATTTCTGCTTTGTAAAAATTTAAGAAAGGTGTCTTCAATTTATTCCCTGTGCGAGTTATATCTGTGCACCAGCTCAGGAAATTAAATTGCAAGTTGTTTTCATACTGCTGAACAAAGGAGCTTTGTATCTGTTAACATTTTTCTAGTAAGACACTTTGTCACCTCTTTTTTTCCCCACAATTTTAAGGTCTCTTTGCCTGGACACATGCAGGAGACTTGCATTGTGCTGTGGCTTTGATATGCAAACCAGTTGTGCTTTCTTGTCCCCTTCAGTTTGTATCCACCCGGGGTTTTACTTCTTTTTTCTCTCAGCTACTTCATACTCCTAAAGCATAAAGTAAATTGACATCTTGGATCCTAAGGACTGTTTGTTAGGCTGGAATGAAGTTTCTTTGTTCTGGATCTTAATACAATTTCTATTTCAGCCTCTAAGTATAAAATAAGGGTGTTTTAATGTAAATCTGCTTTGCATTTGGAGTGCTGACAAAAATTGAGGCATTTTCTGTCTGTGCCTCACCTCTGGTGGCAGGTGGTCAGAGCAGGCTCTCTCTGGTTAGTCTCCATTAGCTGTGTGTAGACACTGACAGGACCTGAGGAATTCTGTTAGTGTTGTCTATGCTCTAAGGCAACTTCAACAAAAAAAAGGGAAGTGTAATGTTGCAGCATTTCTACCACATTGTAAAATGTAACAGAAAAACATGTTATTTTGCTCAGCAGTTACATTTTATTGGGAGCATGATCTCTGCCTCTTGGCTAGCTGCTCTTACTTTTATGCGGCTTGGGGAGTTTATAAATACACTTTTTTTTTTTAGAAAGACAAGTACATTTAGTCAGAGAACCTCTAGAGATCCTGAAAGAACTTGGAATTCACTTCTTCCCAACTCATCTTGGTTTGATGAGGGTTTCTGAGTGTGGTGTTGCTTGGTTTCCCCAGGAAACTGGGTGGTGTGAGAAGTGGATGGTGTGTGGCTGGGCTGGTGTGAGAAGTACCACACATGTGGTGACAGTTCCCTTGTCATTTGCCAAATGGCTGTAAGTGTCAGCTGAGCAGTGCAGGGTGGGAGGTTTGACATTATTGCTGTGCTCCTAATGGTGTGCAATGTCCTTTGCCACACATGAACTGGCCAGTTGGAAGAACAGGCTGGGCAGATCCGCTCCAAATCCCAACTGCTGCAGGTGGAACGGGAGAAGATGCAGATGGAGCTGAGCCACAAACGAGCTCGCATTGAGCTGGAGAAGGCAGCTAACACCAATGCCAGGAACTATGAGGTAAGTCTGGGGGTGCAGATGGCTTGAAATCTTAGGCCTCAGTCAGAACACACGTGGAGCATCTGCACTGGTGTTTTGGTTTGGATCAAGGATACACTCTTCCCTTCTCACGTGCAGTGCTTTGGTTTGCAGTGGACTGTCTCAGAATGTGGATAGTTCTGGGGATGAGACCGAACTGAAAGATGCAGTCCAGGAGCAAATCTAGTGTTCTCCAACTGCTAATGGGCACTGTCTTCAGAGCAGGACTGCAGCAGATGCATATTAAATGCTCCTGTGTTTGCATTTGTTACAGACATGCTGCTGGTGGTGGTGTGGGTGTCAAGTTCCCAGTACAACTGTTCTGCTCTGCAGATCCCCTCACAGTGCATTGCACTAACTTGCTAATGTGCACAAGTGTGTGAACTTGAGGCCGAGTTAGGCTGACAGACTGATGATGTGATCCCTGGGTCCTGTTGGTTTAGCAGTGAAGTCATCACGGGTAGCAATAACAAAAGGGATTTGTTATTTGTTTCTCCCAGGAGTATTTAATGGTTTTTCTCCTGGATGAGTTTAAACTTCTGCTGGCACCACCGCAAGTGTTTCGTTTGTGTGGCTGTAATTAATTGGAATGGCAGCAGTGCCAGCCATGCACTGTCACACCAGAGAGCCTGCACTGATAACAGTGAGCCTCACTCAGGGACTAAGAGCTTTCACAGCTCTCTGCTTTTATGCTCACATATGTTTGCTTAACGACGTTGCTGAAGTAAGTAGTAGATCAGTGGGTTTTGTAGCATAATAAAAGTTGTATATGCAGCTGATTATTGAAGAAGAAATCTTTAAAAAATAATAAGCATGTTTTGTTGTATTTTACAAGGATGCTGGGTGACAGATTCAGTGTGTAGCTGTGAAACCCATAGTCAGTGACTAAATTCCTCCTTCGTCTGAAGTCAGGTGATGTGGGATTAAGCCAGGAAGAGTTCAGACAGGAATGCAGCTGAGTCAGTCACAGAAACCCTTGAAATACTGGTACAAAAAATAGGGAGCAGCACTAATCCAGCACTGTGGTAATTACCCTGCTCAGATTCTGTGTTTTTCTGAGTCATGTGGATAAAGGTTTTAGGAACCTCACGTTACTTTGCATAATCCTTGCTTACTATGTAAATCCATGTCTCGATGTGCTTTGATTAGCAAAGCAATTTACTGTGCATTTTTTCAATAAGTATTAATCAATTTGAGGTAGGAATAAACTGAAATGGTGTATGAAAGGGTGTCAGAGTGTGAAAATATTTATTGTATTGGTTGATAATACTGTGCATTTAAACCCCATTTCTTTTCTTTTAAATGGCCTCATACAATTTCCAGGAGTTGCAGAGGGAAGTTTGTCTTAACCCAATTTAAATGGCTCATACAATTTCCAGGAGTTGCAGGAGGAAGTTTGTCTAATGAACCCAATTGCTGAGGTCTGAGTTTCTGAAAGTCAACTTGCTGTGCATGGGTGAGCTTTAAATTGGAGATCAAATGTTTTCATCTTTGATCTGCTGGGAAGTGTGCAGTGGAGTCTGTGAAGCCACATCTGTATTCTTATATTCCTGCCTTAGTGTAAGAGATTTGAAGACTCTCATCTCTTAATTTTCCAGCTCCATTGCCTTGGGTAATTCCTGAACACTGAGTTGCTGCTCCTAATGTTTTTCCTCTTGCTAGTGCAAAGGTTGAAGCTAAGGTCTGAGTAACTTTGCTTCATGATGATGCCTTGGTGATCACAATGATAAGGAATGGAGACAGGAGAAGGCAAAATGTCTTTCCCTTTGTGCTACTTCCTTCTTATGTCTCTTTGCTTTTGTTTTTGCCTGGCAAGAGAGAGGCTGACCGGAACCAGGAGCTGCTCACACGCATAAAGCAGTGTCAGGAGAGGGAAACGGAAGCTGAAAATAAACTGAAAGAACAAGTGGAGATGAACAAATCCTATAAGAAGACCATGGAGGCAATGAGTAAGAAGATGCAAGAGAAGGAGAGCAAATTAGCTGAAGCTAATGAAGTAAGAACAGAGTAATTTTTATTCCATTCATAGCTTCAAGTCACTTTGCAGTTTTTGTGAATTGAAAATGTCCTTTATGATTAAAAAAAACCCCAAACAAAATCACTGGGATCACTGTGTTCATCACCTGGAAATGAATAGACTCTGGTGGTGTGTGTCTGTGCTGTTGAAGTTTAGAACCAAACCAAGCCCAGGCACAGGTAAGCACAGAAGGAGAACAGACTTCTTAGACAAGTTGATACGGAGAAGGAGAAAAAACATGCAAGACAACATACAGCATCAAGGTTCACAAGTCATGACACTTGTGGAGAAAGGGACAGCGATGGAGGAGATGAGATGGGAAAGTGTTGAGGGAAGTAGGGAGAATGTTAGAGTGGATGAGACCAACGTTATGTACAAAGTGTGTCCTCCTGAAGTGTCTTACATGCCTCTGCATTCCATTGCAGAGTGAATGTCTGGATTTCAGTTTATTTGGGTGACCAGACCATCTGCTCAACCTTCTCAGATATCATTTATAGTTCAGTTCAGCTATTTAACTTGTAACTTTTCTGTTTAATTTGATTTCCTGCACCAACTGTGGATCAACAACCACTAAGTCCTTCAGCCTTGCTCCTGCCTAGGTGTCACTGGGAACGTGTCTGTGTGGTAAAGCAAGTAAACAGGTTTAATGTTCCAGTTATCAGTGATTAAAAACAGGGAGACAGTGATGGTACATAAGAGAAAACAAATCCACCTAAGAAATGTGTGCAGCAGTTCTATTTCTGTGTCTTTTTATTTTCATCTCCATCAGTATCAAGATGAGAACCCTTCATGTGTCATGTTTTGAGATTATTCTCTTTTTCTCAGTTAAAGGGAGCTGAGTAATGGCTACTGGAGACAAACCTGTGAGCTTTTCTTTGGAGTTAAGCTAAAGAGTTTTAGTGTTAAGCTTTAGAGTTAAACATGACTGTGGGATAGTTTTTTTGCTTTAATATATATACTTGTGTGTTTTACCATCCTCTAACTTTGAAGCTTGCTATTTCTCATGCCAGTTTGAGGTCACCTATTTAATAGGTGATGGAAATGACAATTTGGGTGACAGATTAAAGTGACTAAATGATTTTCTCTTGTCTTTGTATTTGAGGTAAGTTTGCAGGCCTGAAGGTTTGCAAGAGTGTGGGACTGTTACGAGATTCAATGTTGGTACTTTTTTGTTGGATATGATTTTTGTCTATCACCAACCATAGTGTCCAGCCGGGGGAGTCACAGTCTCTTTTTTTCCATTTATTCAGACAATCACTGTGTTAAAAGGGAAAATATCAGAGCTGCAATGGAATTTAATGAACCAAGAGATGCAGATGACAAGCCAAGACTCTCAGAAGCAGGAACTGATGGAACAGCTGGATATGGAACAAAAGTAAGCAGGGGATGAATGACTGTTGGGAGAAAAAGGCAAACAAAACTTGAGCCTTGTGCAGCTGTCATCACTCAGAGAACTTCCACCAGCGTTTGATTTCCACTCTTCAAAGGGTTGCTTTGATCTGGATGTGCAGGTTATAACTGTTGTTTCAAACTAGCTCTGAGGTGCAATTTAATTGTACCTTGAGGAAAAAAAACCCCACAGATTTGATCTTAAAATCTCAAGATGTTTTGTGTTCCTGATGGAGAGTTAGCAGAAGGCACATGGGTGGGAAAGGCTAATCTGAACTTTATGGACTGAACAGAACTATCACACCTTAAATCATAATGGAGCTATGAGTATGTTTTTCCTCTGCTTACTAAGTTCAACTCTTCAGTTGCAGAGATGCAAGGGCTTATTTGCACTGAGTGTATATTTGTTGTTTTCAGAGTGAAGGTGCATTGATTTTTGGGTATTTCTCAATGTGCATCTTTTTATTAAAATGGATAAATAGATATAGCACAAAATGGATATTTTTGTCTCTAAATTAGCAGGAGATGATATGAGTGTGAAACTCTGAGACAAATCTACAACAGTAACATTTCCCTTGTTAGTGGTGTTTGCCAGAGAGACGTGGGCATTTTGGTTGTTTCTGGCCCAGGGTTTGTGGATGCTCAGTGCCTCTTGTGTCTGCATCTCACAGGAAATGGCAAGAGGCTAGTCAGCAGATCCAGACACTGCAAGCTAGCCAGGCCCTACTGGCAGAATATGAGCAGAAGATTAAGGTAAGAAACTCTGTGACCTATATAAAGCTTTAGTTTTCAGTTTCTTCAGTGGAAGAACAGAGCAGTGCTTTTAAAAACCTGACTGTCGTAGAAGTGAAAGATTAGTTTGTCATATAAGAATCTGATTTGGTGGCCAGCAAGAGCTGAGGTTGGATGGACCAGGTTACAGTTAGCTGTAACATCACACTCTTTGCCTTTGTTGTATCAATTGATTGGAAAAAAATGCTTTCTCTGGAGAAGGATGATTTATATCTTTGTGCAGTCCTCTGGAGAAGGATGATTTATATCCTTGTGCAGTCCTCTGGAGGAATGCTCTTTCTGATCTTGTGCCACCAGATGTCCTGCTGAGTTTCCTTCCATCTTCCTTCAATCCTTGATTTGAGCTTAAAAAGTATAATGCAGAAATAGGTCTTACAAGTTCCAGCTTAATCATTGCTGTCCTATTGTCGTGCCATGTTTTCCAGGATCTGGAACAAAAGTTATCTCAGCACGAACATGATGCTCTAATTGTCAAGAACATGAAGGCAGAACTGGCTCGTTTCCCAAAAATGGAGAGGGAATTGCGCCAGCTCAGGGAGGAAAATGCCTACTTCAGGTGAAAAAAGGGTTCAGGGGTCAAGGGTTATCTTGAGTTCTTCTCTACCTGCTACAGCTGTGCGCTTTCAAATCCCTTTGTTTGGCTTCCACATGGGAAAGTTGCGGAGGAAGCTTAAATATTTCATCGAAATACTGTGTTTGAACGGAGCAGTGTTCTGGTGGTGGCTGGATGAGAGGGTTTGACAGGATCTGAGGAATCTTCTAGACACAAGAAGAGCCTCACAGAATGTGTATTGATCTTCTGGGTGGTGGTATCTCTTTGTGAGAACAAAAATCCATGTTGAAAGGTAGTGATGAACTCCATGGAGCTTTGGGAAGGAATTCCCTGTAGAGAGGAGAGACAGCTGAGTGTTTCTTTACTAGCTGGTTTTGCTGAGCTATTGTTACCACTGTTTTCCAGGCCTGTTGTTCCAGCATAATGCTTGGAAAGTGTTTTGTTTAACTTTCTAAAGCACCCTGGTACAGCCCTGGGCAGAGTGGAGCTGTTTTGGATTTCTGAAGTGGCAATTAATTTGAAAACTTAAAGACACTGTGAAATAACTTGCTTTCAAGTGTTTTTAAATCTTACTTTTAATCTTTTGGTACTTCTTAAAAAGGAAAAAAAAAGACTTAAATTACATGAGTCATCTTGCCAGTTTTTTAAGTCATTTTCCTTGCTCTTGGTCTTGTAATTGTTTCATTAACATTTGAAATTATTTATCTTGGAATGTTTTCCCATGCTTGTTTTGTGTGTGTGGTTTTGGTTTTTTTGTGTGCAGAAATATATCAACAGATTAAAGGTCCCTTGTCTTTAAATAGCTTTACCTCACCCTTGTGCACCTCTGTTAAAGTAAAACCAAGCAGTCTCAGAGCTTGCTCAGAGCTCCACAGCCCTGGTGTGTCCTGCTTGCTGTGTTCCAGCCCTGCATCCAGCTGCATGGAACAGCAGAGTTGGGAGTCTTTTGTTACTCTGAATTTGATAAATAGTAACAATTTGACAAAGTGTTTGGACATAATTAGGATGGTACTTGCAGGAGAAAAATCAGTCTCCATACAACTCGTGTTTTTGTAGCGGTGGCTTTGCAGTGGAGGTTATAGGAGGGAGTCAGTGTCTGTTCAGTGTTGTGATTCCCTCCTGATCCATGTGTATCTGGAAATTTGTGAGGGAATTGAGTGGCATGGCTCGTTAATAGTTGTCTCTGTCCTCACCCCAGGGAAATGAGAGAAAACAATGGATTGCTTAAAGAGGAGGTAGAAGGTCTCCAAAGAAAACTGGAACGCTATGAGAAAGTCCAAGCACAGCTAGTGACTGTGGAATTGGAAAACGAGGTGAGGAGCTGGGAATGTTGGGTGGATGAGCAGAATAGGAGTTTCATTTATTGCTGTGTTATGTTAGTTCAGATTATGTACCTCTTTTAACTAATGGGCTCAAACCAGGCATTCCCAAACTGCAAAATCAGCATGAGGAGGTTGTAGCAATGCAGGTGGAAAAGGCAAAAGGACACTTGCTGTTCAGCTGGAGATTTTGTGTAAAGAACAATCTCAGCATAGTGTCTTTTTTGGCCTTGCTGTTTCTCTTTTACCTTTCTTCTGCTGGAAATGCTCTTTTGGCATCAAGCTCTGGCCAAACATCCTGATGTCGAACAGGTATGTGGTAAGAACCTGGATACCCACTCAGATCACTGCCAGTGCTGTAGGGCAGAATGTGGCTCAGATGAAGAAAATTGTCTTGGTTTCCATCTCACCCTATATTAAGCACACAGCAAGTTGTCAGGGCATTAAGCTAATTGTGTGAACTTGTTGATGTACAGAACTAAGCGGTGTCTGATCAGATTTAGATAGTATTATCTGGCATTGACTGAAAGTAAAGAGCTATAGGAGAAAGTGGTAGAGGAGCAGTGGGAACTACAGCTGGGACAGACCTGGTACTGAGGAAAGAGCTTGTTCTCTTCTCCACTGCCAAGGATCTTGTCCACCACAGTGGTGGCAGCTCACAGGGTTAGCTAATCTCCAGTGCTGAAGTGGAACAAGGGGCTCTGTGTGTCCTAGAGCCATGGTGACAGGGCAAGGTCTGTGCTGGAGAGTGACAAACCAAGAGTGCTAGATAAGATCATGATTCCACAGGAGGAGAAGGAACGACACAGACTTCAAATAGAGGATGATGAGTAAACTCTGGGAAATTTGCTGCTAGAACATTTGTCTGTGTCTAACTCTACTTTTGATCTCTGCTTTAGAAACTTCTGAGAAAATTACAGAGCTGGGAGAAACTGGACCAGAGCACTGGCTTAAATATCAGGTATGTGCTCACAGCTCTGGAGGGAGGTAAGGCTTTCAAACCATGTTCCTTTCCTCATCTTCTGAGCTCTGCCATGTGTTGGTCATGCTTTTTGCCATCTCTTCTTCACGTGGAAGCTCTTCCAGTACAGTTTATTACATATGAGAACAAAAAGAAAAACCAGTGTTTGAAAATATCTTTGGGAACTAACAAATGTTTTTCACCAAGTCAGTGTGACCAGTGACTCTGAGGCTGTGGTTCAGTTGGAGTTCTTTGAACTTCTTGCATACAGCTGCATTCCTCTTTAGTTAGAGATTCTGCTGCTTACTGAGTTCACTAACTTGTAAGAATCTTAGGATGTATCCAGAGAAGAGAATGTATGTAACTTGTGACAAACTGTTGTAAATATATTTCCTTTGAAATCTGTATATCAAAATCAGCTGCTAAATCATGTTGTGACTTTTCTTCCCTAAAGCAGCTGGAGAACAGTTGTCAATGTAGTTATATTGTCAAACCTACCCCCCAGTGGTGTTTTGTAACACCAGCTGCTTTGTGTGCTGGTACTCAACAGGTCCTCCTGACACCTGGAGCAGTGAGCCAGATTTTTTAAGGGCTCTGGTGTATATGTGGTATAAAGAGGGTCAGGAGATGGTCAATCTTCTGATCATTTTCTCCTGCAGAAGGTTTTCTGTGTAGCAATGATGCTGTTGTGTGTCATGTTTCAGCACTGCTTTACTTTCTCTAAATATTTATGTTATTATTGCACTGGAAGAGGAAATGCTTCATTGTACATAATGTCTTGATATGAGCATTATAGTGCAGATCACCTTTCATATTGAGGCAAGGCCTGAGCTGCAACATCCACAGCAGAGCCTCATTTTACCAGTTGTTTTCATTCCATTCATTACATGTGGCCCACAGCAGAGCTGTGTCTGCACACTGCTGGGATCGTTTGGAAGTAGGAGTGTTAGGATATGCTCATATTTGGATCTTTGTTAGCCACTGCAGTGACAGGACAAGAGGTAATGGGGAGAAATTGAAAGAGAGAAATTTAGATTAGATCTTAGGCAGACATTTTCCCTGTGAGGGTGGTGAGACACTGTCCCAGGTTGCCCAGGGAGGCTGTGGCTGCCCCAACCCTGGCAGTGTTCACAGCCAGGTTGGCTAAAGCCTTGAGCAACCTGCTCTGGTGGGAGGTGTCCCTGCCCAGGGCAGGGGGTTGGGGCTGGGTGATCTCTAAGCTCCATTCCAGTGCCTTAACATTCTGTGATATGGTTTGGGCACATTACTAGGGAAAACTTCCTTAACTTTCTCAGTGTTTTCTGTTTAATGAGGATAACCAGCCATTTCCAGAGCCATGCTCACAGGCAGTGTGCTTGAGATTCTCTCCTGCATCTGCTGAGGATACATACATTTAGATGAAGATGGAATTGTGCTCAATCTCCAATGGCAAGGAATGGACAGAAGTAGTTGGAATCATTTTCACAGAACCTACTTGATCAGACATGGGAGTAAAAGCTTTTTACTTACCTCATGCTGTTAAAGGTTTAACGAGGTAATTTCACACTGGGAGAGAAATGGACCCAAGTGATTCTGCCTGTTGAAGTCTAATAACTCCTTCATTTAAAATCAGAATATTCTCTGTGAAGTGTTAGGTGTTTGATTGGGCCATATTGTTTAGTGCTGTTAATGGCACCTTCTCATACAGAAAGGGGAATTGCTCTTGAGAAAGAGCATTTTTTGCATGCAATTGGAGCAAGTGGGACCAGATGATTTCCCCCTCCCTCTTTTTGTTGTTTTTTTTTTTTCTTTTTTTCTTGGCTCAGCCTTCTTACAGCATGAATTATGTTAATTTTCAGTCAAGGTGATAAAGATGATGAGAGATCATTGTCTTAGTTGGTTCTTGGAGAATGCTGTTGGTGAAAGTTTGAGAAGATTTAATTGCCCATCTCATAGGCAAAGAAAATAGGAACAAGTTGGCTGATTGTCCCAGAGAGTCAGAGCAATGTGCTGTTTGCTAATAGCTAGATAAGCAAGGAAAAAGGGAATGCATTAGGGTTTCTCATCTTTTCTTATCAGCTTTTTCATTGGTGCAGAGGCTGTGAGGAAGTGCATGCAGCGTGTGGCGTTTCAGGAGAGGAGGATTGTTCATTTCCTGCAGCACTTCCACAGGGCTTGTTCAGTGTCTGCTCTCAGTGGTTTCCCTTCACTGATTGCCTGCTCCCAGCAGGCTCTTTGTCAGATTGGCTTATGATCAGCCCTTTGAGTGTAATTTTATGTAATAATACTTGGGAAGGAGGTGCAGCTTTCAGGAGTGTGGTGGTAATCCTACTGTTTTTAGTACTGGTCTCTTTTTGGGGACAATGAAAAAGTTAACTAAGTGTTTATAATGCTTCACCTTGTGGGGGGAGACAAGTTCATTAACAGTTTACTCAGGCTAATCTTATGTTTGCTAGTTCTGGATTCCACTTGTAAGCTCCTGGGCTTTTCTCTCTCTCACAAACTGTGGAAACAGAGACAGCTTTAGAGCATAATATTCCTGTAAGCTGCACCATAGCCAGATAATAAAATAATGCACATCATAGTTCTGTATGGTGCATATGTGCACATTATAAATCTATGTAATCTTCTTTTTGTGTTCAGTTATATGTCCTTTTGGTTTCTTGAGCTTCTTGCTGCCTACTTTGCAGTGTAGTTGACTGGTTCTTATTGTGGATGTAGGTTGGTTTTGGATGTTACTGTTATGCTGCCAGAGATTGTCATACCTTTGTCATGTGTTGCTCTGACTTGATATTCCTGCCATAGCATTCATTTCATTGTGAAAGGAAAAAACACAAAATGTTGGAGTTCTTGCTCTGTGAGTAGAAAGTCTTGACTTATTTTGGAGTTCAGTGTCTTTGAGGAGGATATTATTGTGTGGCTCTTCTAGGACTTTGTTGTTAGGAAAGAGTTGTGTTGAGAAAACTGCAACTCCCTCACGAGGGGCAGTGGAGGGGCAGAACTGGTCTCTGCTCTCTGGTGACCAGTGACAGCCTGAGGGAACATCATGAGGCTGTGAGAGGAGTTTTAAGTTGGATATTAGGAAAAGGTTCTTCACTCCGGGGCAGTGGTCACAGCCCCAAGCCTGACAGAGCTCAAGGAGTGTTTGAACAACCCTCTTAGGCACATGATGGATTGCTGGGGATGTCCTGTACAGGGCCATGAGTTGGACTCGATGATCCTTGTGGGAACCTTCCACTCAGGATATTCTGTGACTCTTGTGCTCTGTCTCTCCAGGATGTGCTGCTGTAGTTTGTATTTGTGTAACTGAGTTGTTGACTGTCTTCACTCACAAACCATGTTTATCACGACATGTTAATCATAACCCAGAGATACTTTCCAGGCAATTCCTTGACTGCCATTAACCGCCACGGATTTTAACAGGATTCCAGCAAGGTTTTCCGCGGCGGCAGAGGCTGTACTCGGGTGACAGTGCCGAAAAACACCCACGAGATGGAGCCCTTCTCCTGCAGCGGGAGGGAACGGGATTCTGCTCCAGCTGGGAATCAGCCTGGTGTCCATCAGCAGGGCACCTTGGGCAGGGGCAGCTACTCTAAGGAACACTTAACTGCTCCTGTCAGTGCCTCTGAAATGTTTAATGCAATCACTGTCTCCTTGCCCAGCACTCAGGGTTATAACTTGGTATGGAAAGCATTGTGCAGGTTTCTCTAGTGGAATACACAATAGAGTGTTTTTCTGTCCAGCTCTGTAAACTTCATGTTTCCACCACATATTCTTCATTATGTCATGTTTTATAGGAGTTCTTCACAGCCTGATTCTGTTCTCCCCACCCCAAGCCTTAGAGTTGCATTCCCAGAGCAGCACTGTTGTTGTTCTGACTTTCCCTTCAGCACCATCTAGAAGATGCCCAAATAAAAAATGAAGGTTCTTGTTCTGAGAGCTATTAATGTAAACAAGCCTTTTTTGGCTGCTGTTTGTCTGTGTTTGGTTGATATTGCTTTTGTCCTCTAATGAATTAGCCAAGTGATTTTGCTATCCATAAACAGATACGCTGTGGAGCACAGAGTGATGTGAAAAGATGTGCATCAGGCATGTGTTAAAGATGAGGCAGTTAGTAACTCGGACACTGAAGGTACTGATAGTCACTGGTAGCAGCTGACAAGGTTTAATGCTAAATTTGCCTTTGTGTTTTTCTAGAAGTGGCAGAAGGTTGCAAAGGCTGAAGTTTGGCTGAAAAGTTTTGCAAAGTGGTGAAGGCTGTGAGGGCCACAAACAGCAGCCTCAGAGGAGTTTTAGTCCAAGCTTTATGTTCATGAGAGAATAAATAGTGATGTGGGGTTTGGTTTTGTTTGTTTGGTGTTTTTCTGATTGAAAGCAGTGACTCTGTGAAGTTTTTGCATGTTCACCTCCTGGGCTCAGAGTTCTTCATAGACACAGCAAAATTATGTTGGTGATCAAATATATTGGTCACGACCTATTTAAGTTGGTCTTTTCTATTTTGGAGCACCACTTTGTGTTGCAGATAGTACTGTCAGCTCAAGCTTGGTGTTTGTATGTGGAAGATAAAGCAAAGGACTTTGTTCATAGTACTTTTCAGAAAAATTTCAGTGTTTTCCATGCACATTACAGTGGTGAGCTCAGCTCTGCTTTCCTGAAGGGAATGCAGTCTGGAATTGAGTTGTGAGGCTGATGTGTCAGAGGGAAAAGGAGTGTGCCTGGACTCTCCTGTGGTGCTCGGAGGCTGCAGTCATGGGCTTGGATGTTCTTGAGTCACATCTCAGTGCTGTTCTGCTGTAAGGATGTCTCAGCCCCTGATGCTTATGGTGTGAGGCTGACCCAGAGGGACTCAGGGGGTCACTGAATCCTAGTTTGGAGAGTGCCTGTGAGTGCCCTTCATCCTCTAAGGGTGAGTTCATCTGGCTGCAGCCATGCTATCACATTAAGCTGCCATGGCTGTTTGGCTTGCTCAGTGTCCAGGCCTGTAGAGAGAAGTGCACAGTTGACAGGAACTGAGGCCAGTG